AAAACTTTACTTCTTTTGGTGTTGAAATCCCTCTTCCAGGACCTTTTTTTTTCCTCTGAAACGTCTCCTGTAACTCTTTTTCTTCTGCCAAAAGTCCCCCTATTCGTAAAGGTCAAGGATCTATATAATTGTTGTTATCCATCAATTCACGTCGTGAATAATAATAAATTCACGTCGTGAGTAGTAGATAACCGTGCCCGTCAAGGATTTCTTCACCCGCGTACATATCTTCTAGAACCATTTATTCACGTCGTGAATCCGTCAATTCTCACGTCGTGAATAACCTTTTTCCAGATTTACTTCACTCTTACTATTCTAATTCCCAAAGTTTCTTTCTTTAACATTTCCAGTCCCCTTTTTCTTCAAAATGTCTTCTTTTTTTTTGCTGTAAACAACATTTAAGCTCATAAGTACCATTATTCTAAACAAATTACCGACTTTTTTAATAAAAATGTACTTAAATATTGCCTAAAAATAAGTATAAATATGGCAATATCAAAAAATATGATATGATAGGAACACGCTAGAGGAACATATCACCTTATAAGAAGATCAAAGCTTTTAAGCTCATATTTCAATTGATGTTGTCAGGGTGACTGCATTCGATCAGGAAATCGAGAGACTCACGGGTTTTACGGCAGGTGTGGTTTGGCTTATTGGGGTATTTCTCATACGTCAATTTCTCGTACGTGATGAGAACCTCACATGACTGTTATGAAGAATATTTTCAAATGTCATAGGAGAACAACATATCTTGGTTTATGGTATCCATCTAATATAGGGTTCTTCGTGCAAACATAGTTCGATACAGATTGAGCACGTTGTGGACTTGATTGTAAGAGTATATCAGGAGGATGTCAATTCTTAGATGAGATGCTCGTAAGTTGGCAATCGAAGAAAAAATTATGTGTTTCATTATCCACCGTTGAAACTAAATATATATTGATGCATCTTGCATGTGATAAATTATTTGGATTCAAAGTCAATTGTGATATTATGGGATTGATATGAAGAATATTCCTTTGTACTGTGATTCATGAAGTGAATTCAGAATATGTCATAAGCCAATACAACACTCACAGACTAAGCATATCGCACTACGATATGATTTAAAAAAAAAGATCATATGGAGGAAGCAAAAGTGGAAGTTCACTTCGTTATATCAGTGGATTAGTTAATTGATATCTTCACAAAAGTCTTACCTGAAGTTACATTTAATCGTATTTTACAAGGGCTTGTAATGATGGAGGTTGAATCTTTTCCGAAATCAAATTGAATATGACGACATAAGAAAGGTTATTGTTCATTTGCGAACCTTTGTGAAGCTTCGCAGGCCGTCGTAGTGTGCTTAATATTCCTTAATCAGCTTTGTGAATATCCAAGAAATATTCCTTAATCAGCTTTAGATTGAAACTTCGAAAGATTATCTTTTAAGTTCATGATGAAACACCTACAACCAAAAACATGAAAAACTTTAACATTAGGTTTCCTTTTGTTAATGATTTCATATGGAGTGATATTGAATCTGCGGTGAATAAAAGATTGATTTTGAGTGAAACAAGTTGTTGAAATTGCTTCATCCGATAAATATTGAGGAAAATTTGCATATGTTAGCATTGTTCTTGCTGCCTCATACAAGGATCAGTTTCTTCTTTTAACCACTTCATTTTGTTGAGATGTATATGGAGAAGAAAGATTATGAGAAATGTCATGATTCATCAAGTATGATTCGAGAACATGATTCCTAAATTTTTCTCCATTAACTCCTAATTCTACTACCTTTCTTCTTCAAACTCAACACTTCAATGGCTTTTATGAAGTTAATCATTACTTGAGCATTTTCGGATTTTCGTCTAGAAAATGAACCCAAGTAAAACATGAGAAATAATCTACAATCACCAAAATGTACTTTTCCCCAGCAATTAACTCAATTTTCGAAGGACCATATAAATCGATATGGATAAGTTCATGTGGTTCAACAAATTTTGATTCGATGATAAATGGATGTCCTTGTCAATGTTGATTTCCTTGTTTACAAGTTGCACAAAGAGAATCATTGTCAAATTTAAGAATAGGTAAACCACGAACCAGATCATTTAAAACAAGCTTATTTAAATTCTTGAAATTCATATGTGAAAGTCTTCGATACCAAAGCCAACTGAGATCAGATGATGCCTTAGATAGATAGCAAACATAATGATGGTAACCCTACTATTGGTTTCATATCAAGAGTAAACATGTTGCCTTCTCTATTTGACTTAAACAATACTTCCTTAGACAGTTTGTTAGAGATATCACTCCCTTCTTCATCAAACAACACCTGATTTTCAGTTCCTACAACTAGTTCAGAAACACTAATGAGATTGTGTTTTAATCCTTCAATATAGGAACTCAATTAATTGTAAAATTCTCATTTGTAATTTTTCCATATCCTTTGATTGTATACTTATTATTATTTCCAAACTTCACAACACCAACATTTGTAAGTTTTTCTGAAATCTCTTAAACACTCCTTCCTTCCAGTCATGTGACGTGAGCAATCACTATCAATGTACCAATTTTCATCATATTGCATGTCACATGGCACATGTAATCATTTAGAGAGATTTAGGTACCCAAGCACTACTAGAAAAACAGTTTTTTATGACGCACAATTTATGATACACATTGATTTACGATACGCAAAAGTCTGTGACCTAAAATAATGTCATCTCTCTATAAATTTTAAGGATTTAGGACGCGCATTTTTGCGTGCCTTAAAATTAGTGTCCAAAAAAACATGGAGGGAGCTTTTTATAAAATGTGTGTCATCTAAACATGTCGTTTTATAATTTTTAATGAAACGTGCTCTTTAGTAACAAACGGGAAAAGAAAAGCCCAAAAATTAGAAATGCCCGCTTTTTTCACTTCCCTCTTCGCCCTAAGCTTTTTTCGATGCGTCTTTCTTTCTCCCCACACACATAATCGACGATGTATGTCCTTGTTCAAGAGATCTTTGTCAAATTGTTGATCTTGCCTACGATTGAGTGTTCTCAGTCCCGGTCCACCTCTGGTATACCCTAACTCCATCGATCTACTTCCTCCACTGTCTGTGCTGACGCTCACCCCTGCCACTTCAATCTTCGTTCTTAACCGATGTTGCTTTTCTCTTCCGCCGCCATCCATACTCTTCTCTAGACCTTCCTCTGAAAGAGATCGACACAGAGAGGCCCCTTCTACATCGGTTTATTCATCCATCTCCCATCGTTATCGCTATGGGTGTAAACGAGTCGAGCCGAGCCCAAGCCTGACCATGCTCGAGCTCAACTCATTTAATTTTGAGGAAGCTCGAGCTCGATTTGAGCCTTCAAATGAAGCTCGATCTCAGCTCGTGAACAATTTAGTGGGCTCGCAAGCCTAATCGAGCCTAAACAAGCATATATATATATATATATATATATATATATATATATATATATATATATATATAAATGTGTGTGTGTGTGTGTCTATATATATATATAGGCTCGCGGGCCCATTAATTGAAGCTCGAATCGAGCTCATTTAATAAATGAGCCTCATGTTTAGGCTCGAGCTCGGCTTAGGCTTGTTTAATTCGATCTCGAGTTGAGCTTTTAACGAGTCAATCCCGAGTAGCTCACAAGTAGCTCACTTACTTACACCCATAGTTATCGCTCTACAACAAGGGATGCACTTTTAACTCTAAATGCCGAATACGAGTTAAAAAATACCACATACGAGATTGAATGATTCATTGACAAAAGGGAAAAAGAGGAAGGGTAAGGGAAAAGAACCCATGGTTTTGCTATCCTACGCCTAATGTTTGCGATTGTGATAGCGACTGTGGGTTTGGTGCTTTTTGTGTTGTTAACAGGAAATATGCAGGTGAGTTAGGGTTTTAAACATTATACGATTCACATATCAACTGGAGATCTACTTAGACCTAGAGATCTACTTAGAAGTGAAGTAGCAGCAGGTTTTGAGATTGGAAATCAAGCAAAAGAGTACATGAATTCAAGACGCCTTGTTCCAGATGAACTTGTCACAAATGTATATAATATCATTTCACTAACTTAAATCACATTCACTTTCTTTCCAAATTAGTTAAACAAACACCTGATTTTATAGATGTTGATTGGGCGAATTTAAAAAGATGATACAAAACAAAAAGGATGACTTTTAGATGGTTTTCCATGCAGTTTTCCCCAAGCAGAATCACTTAAGAAGATGAAGATCAGACCAGATGTGTTCATTGTTCTAGATGTAAGTTATAATAATATTAACACATATCTTGTTATTAATTCTTTATATGTTATAATTTAATCCCTTAAACACAGGTCCCTGATGAAATTATAATTCATAGATGTGTTGGTAGAAGATTGGACCCTGAAATAGGAAAGATTCTAATACGATTTTATTGAGCTGTATGAACTTGTGCAACATGCAGGCAACATATTGCCGAGACTGTAAGTGGGAAACTAGAAACCCTTACCCATTTACCTCTTGTTAGTACTATGTTAGGTAGTCAGATAGTAATATTTCCTAGTAATGCAAAGAGAACCTGCTACTATTCTTTGGTTACAAAAGTTCTATGATAGAATCAGTAATCATTTCTATGAAGGCCTTTGCTTATGAGATGTTGGAATAAATCTGCTAAGGAAAAGAGATGTGATTTGGTTATATGTTAAGGTTATCACTTTTTTATACTCCTGGTTTCTTTCATTCATTCAGGTATCTACTTTGTACAGTAGGATCTGTGTACGTTAGGTCAAAGGAGGCTCCTGCTAAGGAAATATTAAAAGATCTTGTTGAAATGTGTCGTGGTATCCAACTTTTTCTAAACTTGAAGGATTCCACTTGGGATTTGATTAAATTTCAAAGATATAAAAAAGAATATCAACATTATTATATCATACACTTCCAATTTTTTATTACTTATAATTTGAAAAATCTATTCAATTATAGCATTGTACTCAGATAAAGTAAATTCATGCAATTTTTCAAACCTGATCCTTATCCACCAATACTACCCTAACCCCTTCAGCAAAATCACTTCTTACAGAAGACCTTAAAGCAATGTGATATTCGGTTTTCATAACACCATTTAACTATACACAACAAAAATCATCATATCAAACAAAATTTCATTAAATCTCAAGCCTGAATAAATAAATAAATAAATATATTAAAAGTTTAAAAGTTAAAACTCACTGTGGATAATTCGTGTTGGCTGTTTCTGCATGCAGATGCAACTCTAGAGAAATACATTTGTGTAAGGAAAAAAGAAAATGGAGCTCCTTTCTTAATCCACACAAGAGCATCTTTTTCCCATTGTGAAACTGCACACAATAGGGTGTTTCTTTTTACGAATTTGCCCCCTATTAAGCCTAGTAAGTCAAAAGGAAACAACTTCAATGCCTTGTATTCTTACTTGATGCATCAGTATTCCGATGATACTTTTCCAGCTCTTCAGTAATTTCTTTAACAGATTTATTTACACCAAATGTTGAAACTATTTGAGGCAAAAGTGACTTCAATTTGGACTATGACTCATGGTTGCTACTATACTTCCCCAATATTGCTTTAATCTCATCATGTGGATCCTCAGAACTGTATACAAATCACAAATATATATACATATACATGATATATCTATAGCTTATGTGTCATTAGGATATGGAAATCAAAGGAAAAGTAAGAAATATACAATGTAGTTGACAAGAGAGTCCCCTTAAGTGGGCCTAGATTTCCAAATTGGACAAAATGTGTCCCAAAACCTACATAAAGTGCATCAACTAGATTTGAAATTCGGTTCCCTGTGATTCCAAGATAAGCACCTATGCATACAAATGAATAATCACATGAACATGATATTTCCAATTTTTTTTTCTTTCTGTGTTTGACAGTTTGTTAAGTTGAGTTTTAGTGTCAATATTTACCAATTGATCCTTCTCCTGGAGTTTGTGCTGCTATGTAAGCAAATCCAATGTCTAGAAACAAACGAATTCCATTCTCTGGCATAGCAAGAAGAATTTTCTAGAAAAAAGTAAAAAAGATGATTACTTTATAACTTATGGTTTAGGATTATGATGAATTTTACATTTTTACAGTTTTACCACATGATTGTTGTTGGCTTTACCTCTGTGGGATCCCTAAATTGGCCAAGAAATTGAATAAAGTATGAATATTTACTACCTTCACTATGTGTACTAATGTCCTACATAAGTTTAATGGTTATTTATTTTTTTCTTTTCAGATTTTTGTACAACATATCATGAATAAAGTACCGAACTTTTTTTTATAACTCAATTGAAATCTTCTATATCCAGGTGGTGTTGGTGGCAGCAGCAGGGGCGAAGATGTCATTCACCCCTTAAAATTTCCCATGAATATCTCTTTAATGGTACTTCCCATAAAGTCATGTATATATCGATTATAGAATCACCTTTTTAATGTTTTGCAGCCTGACACTATTACCGGTGATATTAAGTTGTAATTTTTTTTTATTTAAAATGATACTTATCATAATTATCTCATATTTTTTGGTTCTTTGAAGGGTGATTGTACAGGAACTAATATGTTAAAATTTGGTTGCCAGGTACTTTCAACCTCTTATTTTACCTCATTACCCTATTCTTAAAGTTATTTTTTATTTTATTATTATTATTTTTTTGCTTATTTTCACATATTGGGATTTGTTGGTTTATGTGAATCTAATGGTTGCATTATTCTAATTTGTAGGTCTTGTTGATGTGCATAGTGTCAAGCAAAGTAGCTCGGATGTTGTGAAGGTAGGCGACAAGTTCTTGTAATTCAACTGTTATTTGTTGATGACTTTTATCTCTTTCATATTTGATGTATTACATTTATCTACTATTTGAATGATTATTTGTATGACATTAACTTTTGTGCAATGGATTGTATTTTTTGTATATGGTATTTTATTTTCTATTATGATACATGAAATGCAAATTTAATTTGAAAATTAGTAAATCAATAAATGTATTTTTTTTTAAATTTAAAATTACGATACGCAAAAATGTGTGTCATCTTCATTTATGACATGGTCTTTCTTGACAACGGTTTTAATGATACACATTGCTTGTCGTAAATGTGCGTTGTCTATAGACGACGCACAAAAGCGTGTTGTCTCTCGTTATGACAGGGTTTTCCTTGACACGCATTTGCATGTCATTTGAGCGTTTTACGACATGCAATGTGTGTCGTAAAAGACTGTTTTTCTAGTAGTGAAAGCTATTTGGATCTATGAACATTAGTGTGGAATGTAGTGAAATGTGGAATTACAAATCCAGTTACAAACTTTAAACTTAATTCGATCAACCAAATCAATTTCATTACTTTGAGGTGAAGAAATATATTTATTCGACATGGAAACATAAATACTGAATTTCTCATCCTCAACTTTGCACTTTGAAAACACATATTGTAATTTTGGTTTTTCTTGACTCCATGTTGGTGGCTTCAAGAATGTTTCTTATAAGAAGTACTTTCATTTATCAATTCATTCAAATAGTTTTCATTAGTATCCTTTATTTGTTCTTATGAATGACACTGACTTTCCTATGTTTTCCAACCAATTATTCAAATTATCAAAATGATTTCTACATAAAAACTTTCGATTTTTTCTTTGAATTTGGATTTGGAAAGTTAGGATTCCTTGGAGTAAAATTTACATATAAAAATATCTAAATTTGTTTTTTTTTCAACTTTGCAAATCTTGATTTTAAATTTTGGTTTTGTTGATTGTCGGCTTGTTGCTTACAAAGTACTTTCTTTTCTTCCTTTCCTTAATACGGTATCTTTTTTAATTAATAGCATTTACTATAAATTTAATTTCTAAGGCTCGCATTTTTCCATTTGTCTGAAATCTGCCTGGCTGGAGCCGTGGTTATTGATGCTATAATAAATATAAAACAAAGAGAATGGTCCCTATGGTTTGGTATAATTTGCAGGTTTGGTTTCTAATTTATTTTTTTAACTCGGAAGGTCCTTAATATCTGTTTTTGGTACGCGTTTGATCCCTGTCTTACCTAAAAAGATTATTTTGCCCTTGATTTTTTTCATTTATTTAATCAAACACACTCCAAACCCCATTCCGTCACCTTACCTCACCTACCCCACCATTTTCCCCTATTTAAATAATAGTATTTTTAGGTAAGATAAGGACCAAGCGCGTAACAAAAATAAACAGTAGGGACCAAGAGTGCAACAAAAACAAATAGTAGGGATCTTCTGAATTAAAAAAATAAGTTATGAACTAAACGTGCAAATTACCGAAAACCATAGGAATCATTCGTGTAATTTACTCTGAAACAAATAAAAGTATTTTGCTATTTGTTTTTTCATTTTAACCCATAATAATAAAATAATAACCACTACAATATTACACAACCTTCAATACTCCACCCTTATTCAACCCCCATAATCCAATTAATTCTCTCCAACCACCTTTCCCAACAACCACCACCAACATAATCAAGACGTATATATTTCGTATGGTATAAGCTTAATCAGTACCTGTAAGTAACAGGCTTGTAGGGACCTTCCACCGGAACATTAATATAATCAGCCTGATCTTTACTAAGCTTCGTTAACTTCGCTCCAAGCTTACCAAGATGAAGAGCAGCCACCTTCTCATCAAGATGCTTAGGTAACACATACACTTCCTTCTTATACTTCCCACTTCCCTTTTCCTTCCACAATTCAAGCTGTGCAATCACCTGGTTTGTAAACGAACACGACATCACAAAACTTGGATGCCCTGTAGCACAACCCAAGTTCATCAACCTCCCTTCTGCCAATATAATCACTCCAGTTTTTGTATCAGGGAACACCCATCGATCGGTTTGGGGTTTAATCGTGACTCTTTTCACACCTGGGTATGTTTCTAGCCCAAGCATGTCGATTTCGTTGTCGAAATGGCCTATGTTGCAGACGATGGCGTTGTTCTTCATTTTTTTCATGTGGTCGACCATGATGATGTCTTTGTTGCCGGTGGTGGTGACGATTATGTCGGCTTCTGCGAGGACGTCTTCTAGGGTTAGGACTTGGAGACCTTCCATTAGAGCTTGAAGGGCACAGATTGGGTCGATTTCTGTCACTATCACACGAGCTCCGGCTTGTTTCATGGCGGCGGCGCAACCCTTTCCGACGTCTCCGTAACCACAGACGACTGCAACCTTTCCGGCGATCATTACGTCGGTGGCTCTCATTAATCCGTCGGGGAGTGAGTGGCGGCATCCGTACAAGTTGTCAAACTGTGATAAGAGATAATTGAGAACATTCGATTATTAAATTTACAAGTATATTAGTTAATTAATCAGATCCACTGAAAATTGATTGTGATTCCAATGCACTATACCTTGCTCTTGGTAACGGAATCATTGACATTGATGGCAGGGAATAACAAGGTACCATTGGCTTGCATCTGATACAGCCTCTTAACTCCGGTTGTCGTCTCCTCCGATACACCGACTAACCTATCTTTCATCTTGTGGTACTTCTTCGGATCACTCTGCAACCCATCCTTAATGATCGACAACACGATCTGGAACTCTGCATTGTCGGTTGACGTCGGATCTGGCAATTTCCCTGTTTTCGCGAACTCCTCCTCCGCTTTCACTCCTTCATGGATCAAAAGCGTGGCATCACCTCCATCATCAACAATCAAATCAGGTCCACCGCCGGGACCCCAATCAAGAGCTCGTTCCGTACACCACCAGTATTCCTGAAGAGTCTCCCCCTTCCAGGCGAACACAGCCGCGGAATCACGTGCGATGGCGGAGGCGGCGTGATCCTGAGTCGAGAAAATGTTGCATGAACACCATCTCACCTCGGCGCCCAAAGCGGTTAGTGTTTCAATGAGAACACCGGTTTGAATAGTCATGTGGAGTGAACCTGTGATCCTAGCACCCTTGAATGGCTGCGAAGGTCCGAATTCAGTCCGGCAAGACATCAAACCGGGCATTTCAACTTCGGCTAATTCGAGTTCAAGTCTGCCAAAATCAGCTAAGGACATGTCCTTGACCTTGTATTCACGGCCGGTGGAGGTTTTCTCGACGGTGAGAGCCATGGTCGGAGTTAGGGTTTTGAACAATTCAGATCAGATCTGATACACTCTGTGGTTTCAGAAGAAAACCGAGAGGGGTGGGTTAGGCAAGGAGAGAGTACGGGAGTGCAGGGGTATAAATAGGTTTTAAGGGGTGAGAGAGGACGGCCAGGATTTGATCGGGGTTTGGTGAATGAATCTATGGATTTTAATTTTTTATTGAAATGACAAAAGGTTGTTGGAGACCGGTAGCTAAATATGCAATTAACATAATTCTTTGTTTTCAATTAACATATGGCAAAATGGGGTTATTTAGGTTAAAATGATACAAGATAATGTATTTTAAAATAAAATATTTTGCAAACTTAGGTTATAGGGTTTACGAGGATATCGTAGTTGAACCACTTAACGTTTAGGCAAGTGGTTGAGTTGCTAAATAACACAAATTAAAAGCCTAAAACGGAAGTTAGTTTTCACTAACCGGTCATGTTAGTGCGAATATTTATGAGTTCATAGCAAAAGAGTTTTCTATATATAAATGTTTGATGTTCAGTGTTTTATCACTTAAATGATTATGTACTCAAGTGGAGATTATAAGGATATTGCTAGTAATTTAATATGGAAACTTTAGCATATGTTATGTTGATTGGTTGTAGAGAATTGCTATAAGTTTTATTATGAAATTTTTAACATTTCGTATGGTTGATATCAACTATTGGGATATTCGGTGTTATTATGATTAAAAACTATGATCGAGCTTATTGGTTATAAGCAAATGGACATTAGAATGCATTATATATGTTAGTGGTGTGATATACTCCAAAGTGAGTACTAGAGATTACAGTTTGTGATACATGACAATTATCGAGATTGTATTTCTTGTAAGTAGTAGTTATTAGTGAATGCAATCATGTTATGGAACCTAGTGACAAGTTACAAGCACAAGTTACCTACTGGTAGGTTACTATCATAATATCTTATAGAGAAACCCAGTTTATAGGTCCTACTAGTAGGACATAATGACACAAACAGTAATAATTATGCGTCAGCTTCAGGATCATTTGTATTCCCATGGATAGCAAAGATTTTATTATGGACTAATTAGGGGTATTGATTCCACATATGTCCAAGTTTAGTTATGGGATATCAACTCTCGTAGGTGCAGTCTTATCTCCAAAATTATATCTAAGGGTGTAGTCTTATTTGTAAGGTTATGTCTTGAGATATGAAATCCTAGTATATATAGTTTATTACGTAAGACTGTAACTTCCTGTTTTCGAATCGTTCTGTGATTTAAGGCTTGTGGACCGTAATCCATGTATGAGAAGGTTTTTAGGCTTTAAAGGAGAAAGATTTAGGCCCTTTTTGGATATTTATAAGGTAGATTGTGTGATAAAAGAGTCCGAGTTGTGCTTTAGAGCCCAAGAGTATTGGTAAAGACGTTGGCTCGGTCTTTTAAGGATTTTAGGTTTTATTCAGGAAGTTTTAAGGCTATGGTGTGTTGTTAGAAGTGTGGGGCTTCTCGTCACCTTTACGTGGATCTAAGGTTCGTTGGAAATGGACCTAAGATGAGGAAGTTATGGCAATTTGAAATAACTGGCAGATTTACTCCTTTGTGAAAAAGGTTTGCAAGTAAGTCCCATGCGTGCATGGAGGAGTGTGCGTGCATGGGGTGAGTACGCCTAGCGTAGGCTGGGGTGTACGCCCAGCGTAATGAGCAGAGTGCCAAACCTTAATGTTTAGGGTTTAGGCACTATTTAAACATCCTTATGAGCTCAAGGCTCATTCATTCTCAGCCTCCAAAGTCCTTGAGACCCGTTCTCGAAAACCCTAACCCAACCTAAGAGTGTTGTGAGCTTATTTTTGGTGCTTTTGGGTGCATTTGGCGCATGTTCTTGAAGAAGGTGATTTGTGCAAGTTTGGAGTTCTAGTGAAGGTTTTTAGATCTAGACTCTCCACTCCATTCTCAGCTCATTTGAGGTATAAAAATCTGAACTTGCTCTTTAGAAGTATAGATCGATGATTATGTAAGAGTTATCCTCTTTTGGATCTCATGAGTGGGATCTAGTGGTTGTTATCAATTCAAGAGCTTTGAATTGCCACTCTTAGCATTTATGAAGTTCAAGATCCTTAAAGTTAGCATCTTTAGGGTTAAGAGTCACCCATGCATGTGTTAAGGTGCTTAATATGAGACTTAATGGTTATTTTTGGAAGTTGAGTCCTTTTGAGACATGAAAATTGATAAAGTCGCCAACTTTATCAGTTAGGGCTTGTAATGAAGCTTCCCTGAGGTTTGGATGCTTTGGGATGAAGTGGTTAAGTCGAAAATCGAGTTTTTGGACTAGAGCAGTACACCCAGCGTAAGGTGCAGTACTCCCCGTGTACTGATTTAAGTTCCTCGGTCAATATTTGCGTGTAAGCTGAGGTACCAATGGAGGTACGGCCCATGTAATCTCGTTGTGGGCTTTTTGGGCTAGATCTCGTTTTAGGCCTAAAGTATTTGGGTCTTGGTTTTGGGCTTGCTATATTAGGGATTTTTTGTCAAAGGAATATGTATGTCTTGGACCCTTATGTTGGGATTGACATTTTTGGACTTAAGTTTAGGGTTGGGCCTTGGTGAATTCATTTGGTATAGAGCGTTGGTGGGCCCAATGGGCTTGGGTTATTTATGGGTTGGATTAGTGGATCATCTTTAGACTTAGTGTGTGGGGGCTTGGTCTTAGATCCTAATTGAGTTTAATTGTGGGTTGGCTTAGTGTAAAAGGATCAATGTGCAGCAGCAGCAGTTGTAGGATCTGTTCATCATCTGAGGTGAGTCTTCTCATTATACTTACATGTGTAGTAATTTATGTGTGACCGAAAGGTCTTATTCGTATTATTGACTAGAGGGTCTTATTTACATTACTGATAGGAGGGTCTTATTTGCTTATACTATGGTATGTGTTATTATGCATCTTGTCTTTGTGACTTATGTTGTTATATTATCATATGTATATATTAAGTTATGACCGGAGGGTCCATACCGAGACGTGAAACCGGAGGGTCTTCATTGAGACACGTGACCAAAGGGTCCTTATCGAGATTCAGCCACGAGAGGCTAATTATTTGTGTATGTGGTATTTCCTCACTAAGCTTCGTGCTTACCGTGTTGATTTAAATGTGTTTCAGGTACTTTTATAGATTTCAGGAAGGCGGAGGCATGAATGTACACATTCACCGACTTAAGAGATCTTGTGGAATTTTGGATACTCTGATATTGTTTTGATAATAACTTATAATTTATGTGATAACTTGAATTTATGAGTAATGATTGGTGAATTAAAAATGAAATTTTTGTCTTGAAATTTGGGGTGTTTCAATTTGGTATCAGAAATTGGTTTGAGGGATTCGAGCACACCCTCGGGTATGTATGGACTCAAACTGAGGAGTTGATAACTTTTCAAAAGAAATGATTTTTCATCACATGAATTTCCAAGGAAATTAATGAGTTTTGAAAGCAGGTTCGAAGCGGTGTGTACAATCAGCCAGAGCTCGAGCGGTGATTTCCCAAAATACTCTTACTTGATTATGTGTTGTTATTATGAGCTGATATAGTTGCATGCTAGTCTAGGACTATGAATCTGCTCAGTATTGCATGCTAGTATGTCTGCTTAGGAGAGATGCCTTTGATGGGTTTTGAGCAATACATCAATCATATGGTGTACATGCAAATCCTAATAGCATTTAGATCTAGTTTGTCTAATGAACATGCAATTGAATATCCAAAGCTATAAACCCTAGATCTAACATATAATAAACTGAATTAGGGTTTAGAGAATTACCTTTGATTGTTATATTGCAATAACAATCAATTCCTTGCTTTGATTGGCTTCAGAAAGCTTAGTGCCTGAAGTGTTGCACCTCTAATGGAGTCACAAACACCACTAAGCAACTTGGATGAAGAGGGAGGAGAGAGGAGGCACCAAAAATGACTGGAAACCATAAAGGAAGACTAGTCCACGCTTTTGGGGATTAAGGGTCCTTTATATACATGTAGGCTATTAGGGTTTTCAACCAAGAAACCCTAATCTGACTGCTTAAGCCCTAAGCAGTCCAATGGACCATTCCAGAAGGCCCTTGGATGATTTCTTTATGGTCCTCCATATAGAATTCGTCCATTGCCATCTAATGGATCCTAAGCCCAACTTTGCAACTATCTTATAATTACAATATCAATCCCCTTAATTTAATTAATCTCTTTTAGTCACTAAATTAATTCTTAATTAATTCTTGACTAATATTAATTAAACAATATGATTTCTCCTTTAATATATTATTCTTATAATATATGAATAAATCATAATTAAACCTTTCTCTCTTTAATTCATCCTACATATTGCTATGGTGAAGGCAACCCAAAAGGACCATGCTCATAATCGGGTCAAGTACATACCAAAATAGTTATGGACTTAGACACTAATTAAACAGTCTCACACTTGGATAAGTCTAATAACTATTTTTCGTATGACTTCAGAACCTGATCAGCAATCGTAGCTTTCAAAAGCCGCTGTCAACTCTGATCTTATCAGATAGCGTGTCCTTTATATAAGCGATCATATATTCCTCCATTCTCAAGATATCGTATAGACATAAGACATGAATTTCAATCATTCTCTCTATACTGTTTCCCGAATTCCGATTTATGACGACTGACAACAGACTACAATTAAACACATCAACTTAGTCCTGGCTTAGCCAAGCGCTTAGGTGTCATCACTAAATCATCGAGGGGCCCACACATATCGCTTTCATCCTACTTTGGGTAAAAGGAATGGATAAACTTTGACTCAAATGCTCGCTTGTACTCACTCATCGAATCACACACAACAATAAGTTTTATAACACTAAGTTACTAGTGCATTTACTTATTATCAATGCGTAACCGACCAGCAAAATAGCAACTCACACATCTCAGTTTCAAGAATATAAAATATTATCATCTCACTAATCACTCGTGATAAATCCATGAAGTGATCCAAGTGAGC